ACTATTTAACAAACTGACAGGAAGTTTTTCCTAATGTCTAAACTAAACCTCCCTTGCTACAATTTAAGCCCACTGCTTCATCAGAAGCCAAGAACACCACTTTTTCTCTCTCTCCTCGTGACACTCGTTCAGATACCTGAAAACTGCTCTCATGTCCCTTCTCCGTCTTCTCGTTTCAAACTAAGCAAGTCCAATTATTTCAGTCTTCCCTTGTAAGTCATGTTTTCTACACCTTTAATCACTTATGTTGTTCTTCTGTGGACCTTCTCCAATTTCTCCATATCTTTCTTGAAATGTATTGTCCAGAACTGGACACGTTACTCCAACTGAGGCCTAACCAGCGCAGAATAGAGCAGAACACTGACTTCTTGTATCTTGATCACAACACTCCTGTTAATGAATCCCAGAATCACATTTTCTTTTTCCCCAACAGTGTCACACTGATGACTCATATTTAAGTTTGTGGTTCACTATGACCTAGATCCCTTTCAGCAGTACTCTCTGCTTCCCATTCTGTGTGTGAGATGTAAAAGGATGTATATGGGATGTAAAAGGTTAATCATTTAACCAGTTAGTTACCCAGCAAACATTAGGCTAACAGGAATGCTTACTGGGTAACTGGTTGGACTGCCAACCACAGATGGCTGAGGCAGTCTTGGCTGCCACACCTGTGTCAGGCCAGCAGGACCCTGGTGTGCATGGGGCATGGGCAGGACCCTGGACCCAACCATGAAGCAGCAGCAGTTTCTGGCTCCAGCGTGGCTGTGGTGGGCAGGGGGGCTGCAGTAAGAGGATGGTCAGGCAGGACCCTGGACCCAGGCATTCCAGCTGGATCCTAGCCTCCGCTGCAGCAGACCCCTGACTACAGCTGAACTGAGAGGCAGGGGGGGTGTGGTGGGTTGTGGTCCAGGCACCCTAGCAGCACCCCAGCTTCAGCCATGCTGGAGCAGCCCAGGGATTCTGGCCCAAGCTGTTCTGGGCCAGCAGGTGAAGCCCTGCAGCTCTGAGTTGGCCTGGGTGGCAGGAGGGTCTTAGCCCTGGCCTCCCTGGTGCAAACTGGCTGTCCCCTGGTCCCTAGTTAACCACTTAAAGAAGTTAAAGAATAATATTTTAATTGGTTTAACAGTTTAATTGGTTCACAGTTTTCATGGTTATTTACATCTCTACTGCACACCTCCAGAGGCTTACAACTGGTCCGGGACCTCTCCCCCCCCCCCCCCCGCTATGGCTCTGTATTTAGTGTATTAGAAGCTGGGCAGGCAGGCAGCCCAGCTCAGTTCCAGCTTTTAACAGGTCTGAGAGCTCAGACCCACCCTAGACAGGGGCTGTGCCAACCCTCGCTGCTGCCTCGGATACAGTGGCTGCCGACTCCACCCTGGGGACTATAGGATAGTCAACTAACTGATAAGAACACATGAGGTTACTCAACTATTCAATTAACTGATAGCTCACATCCCTACTGTACAGTTCAGATATCTAGCTGATGAGCACAGAAGCGCAGTAAACTTCCAATAATACAGCACCTTTAGGATCCGGGGGTGCCAGATTATCAGATATGCCAGACTATCAGAAGGGGGGGGCTATGAGGGGTCTGGGCTTGCAGTGGGTGGAGGGGATGTGCCCCTCGGCACTGTGGGACCAACCCGGCAGCACCCCTGCTGCTCTGCCCCGGGCATCCCCAAGTCAGCCGCTGCTGAGACTGACCAGCAGCTGACTCCGGAAGCCCGGGGCAGAGCACCCCAGCTGCTCTGCCCCAGGGCTTTCCGCTGGTCAGTTTCAGCAGCGGCTGAATTGGGGAAGCCAGGGGCAGAGCAGCTCCAATTGTCTGGCTGCCCAGAGCACTTCCGAGTTCCAGATGGTGCCGGACCACCAGGACCATTGGATGCCGGACCACTGGAGTTTTACCATATGTGGATATGTAACCACAGTGCAGTCAGGCAAGGCACTCCACCCATGTCTTCCTAATTCAGATACCAAGGTGACTTGCACAGCAGAGCAGGATAAGGAGAAATCGCTCTGTGCTACATGCCCAGTTGAGACACTCAGGTGAGAAACACATCAGGGCAGGGGACCAGGGGACAGCAGGTTTACTCAAGGGTGCTCAGCGAGGGCACTCCATGCTACCTGCCCCATTCAGACACCCTGGTGAGGCACACAGCACAGCAGGGTTACCCCTGAGCACCCTGCACGTACCAGGCGGAACACTCTAGTGAGGGGCAGAGCAGAGTACAGGGACAGAGCAGTTACCCCAGGGCACCCCGGGTTAGCTGCCCTGGTCAGACACCCCAGTGAGAGGCAGAGTTACCAGGGGACAGTGGGGTTACCCCAGCTCACACACCCCAGTGAGGGGCACAGCAATGCCAAATACCAGGGGACAGCAGGATTACCTCAGGGCACCCTGCACTGCTTGCCCCAGTGAGGTACCCAGGTGAGGGGTACAGCAGAACAGAATAGCACCCGCACTGGTCAGACACCGCGATGAGGGGCAGAGCAGAGTTACCAGGAAACAGAGGGGCCAGCCTAGCTCACACAGCCCGGCGCCG